GGAGGGCAGCCGCTCCGGTCGGCTGGGGTTGTGGTGCGCGAGGCGCGGGCCCACCGTCTGGCGGATCGAGATCCTCGGGGATCTCGGCAGGGGGTGGAGATGCGGATGTGTGCAGTTTCCCTCAGCGGGGACCGCCCTGAGACACAGATCGATTACAGTAGGGGCTCGACCACAAGAAACCTTCCACAAGAGACCGTTAACCCTGAGACCCCAGGACGTCCGTTGATTCTTGGCGTGGGAACGTCACGCTTTTCATAGCAAAGCCATCGAAACCCAGGGCACCCTGGAGGCAAGCAGGGTGTTTCTTGGCATGGGTCTCCACTGTAACCCGCTGCCCCTCGGGGAGGGGCTGTCCCAACCGCGCGGCTCGTGGCCAAACGAGCACCACGAGACGCGCGCACTGCAAATGCAGGAAATACGAGATCGACGCCTCACCGACCGCGCACTGCCTCCCCCAGCCAGCCAGGCACGAAGCCCAGGCGGATATGGATATGGATATGGATGTGGATCTCTCTCTCTCTCTCTCTTTGTACATATATGTATACACATCCAGATCTGTACATATATGTAAAAGTATATGCAGATTTGCCCACTGGAGGGCCCGAGTATGCCCTGATCTACCGCCTGCCGAGGTCCCCGCAGAGAGATCCTCCAGGGCGGTGGTCATGGACCCCCCCCGCCACGGAGACGCGCAACGCGCGGCTATCCTCGGGCACCCGTGGGATGACTTTAGATCCGGATGATATTAGGTCGGGCATGTTCTCCTACAGGCGGATTTGGGGCGACAGTTACAAATGGTTCAAGAATGCCCAAACATAGTCAACATAGTTTAAACTATCGTCTCAAAACTATTTTGACTACATTTGAAATTTCGTCCTGTTGAGGGACACGCCCGACTTAACACAAGCTGACAACGTCTGGTTTCCCGCAAAATGTCTGACCAGTTTCTTCCTGAACAGTGTTCTAAGACTTCCCAGAGGACGCAATAACAACCCCTCAGAAGGCGCGAGGGTTTCTGCGAAGTCCCGCCGCCTTCTGAGAAGGCCTCTTCCTTCTCACTTCCCCCCCGCTCGCCGCCGAGGTTTGCAGGGGGCGTGGTTTGCAACCTGCGCCCTGAGGGTGGCACGCGAGGACCTCGAAGGAGTGCTTCCTCCGCGCCCCGACGAGGGACCATCGAGCCTTTGGCGCAGCGTAGCGCGTGCCTCCAAGACCCCAGCGGCGCAGACCGCGAACCACACCCCGGCGTAACCACGCCCGATGGGATCGCCGATTAGGGATGCACTCTCGGGCCGGGTGAAAGGTGGGGATAGCAAAGGGGGGATTGAGAATCAGCTCACGTGGCTGATTCTCCCGGCGCCTCCCGGCGCCGGGAGGCGCGCATGTATCGAGGAATGGGCCGGGCGGCGGGGCCGAAACCAGCTGCACGCAGCAGATTTCGTAGCCCCCCTTTTCCCTACCCCCCCCCTTTTGTTCGGCCCCACACTCACCCGGGTCAGCGCGCACCCTGGTCTGCCAGGGCCACTCCGCGAACCCAGGGCGGCAACGAAGCAGCCCGCCAAGTTTCTGCGCCGCAGCGAGGCAGCGGCGATCCGCTCGCTCGCTCTTGCAGCCCGGGGGCGCGCGGCGCCACCACCCGACCAGCAGCAGATAACAGGGGGGGAAGGCGGCGGCCGCAGGAAGCAGGCGGGGGAAGGCAGGCTCTCACCGCGGGCACGACTCTGTTCGCAGGAGCGGCCGGGGCGGCCTGCCCGAGCTGGGGCCACCTGGCAAGTGGGCGCGGGGCGGCACCGCGACCACCGCCCGGGGCGCTGAAAGCAAAGCTCCGGGCGCTGGAGGCGTGGAGCGCGCCGGACAGCTCGCCGCGGGGAACGCGGCGGCACGCGAAAGTCCTCCTCCTCCTCCTCCTCCTCCTCCTCCTCCTCCTCCTCCTCCTCCTCCTCCGCGAGCGTCCAGGTGTGCGCCACGAAGCCGCAGCAGCAGCAGGCGCTGCTGCAGAGGGCACGGCGCCCACGGGGCGCAGGCACGGCCCGCGCGGCCACGGTGGCGCCCGGGGCTGCGAGGAGGGCGCGCTGCAGCAGCACGCTGCCGTCGCAGCCCACGGGTTGCTGAGCTGCTGAGCGACCGCATTGCTGGAGGCCGGGGAGGCGGGCGTCGGGGAGCGGGCTTCGGGCGTTCACTAGAATGGGGGGGCGATGGATGGGGGGGTCAGAAAGGTGCACCTTTCGTGCACCTTTCGTAGCCCCTCGGGGCCCTAGGGGGCTCGTTTAGGGCCCTTTCAGGGCCCCATTTCGTGCAACCCTCGACGCCCCCCCATTTATCACCCCCCCCCCCATTACCGAACGCCCGAGGGCTCGGCTCCAGGTGGCTCCCGGGCCCAGGTCGGCCAGGAGAGCTCCCGGAGTCACACAGAACGTCCCAAACCTTCAGATGGAAAGAACTGGCGTGGCGATGGGAAGTGTCAGGCATGCTGGCGGAGCGGTGGACGCGTGATAGTGCACGCGTGCAGGTGGGCCTCTTGCAGGCTCCTGGGGGCTTCTTGGGGGCTTGTTCGGATCTCTTGGGTCAGGGGCATCTTGAGGGTTCGTTGGGGTCCCGTGGTAGGGCTCTCGGGGGCCCTTTGGGGAGCAGTTATGAGGCCTCTTGGGGACTCGTTTGGGCCTCTGGGGTGCTTCTGGGGGGTGTCTTGGAGGCCTCTTGGGGACCTCTTGTTTGGGCCTCTGGAGTGCTTCTTGGGGGCCTCTTGGGGGCCTCTTGGGGACCTCTTGGGGCCTCTTGGGGGCCTCTTGGGGGCCTCGTGGGGCCTCCTTAGGGCCTCTCGGGGTCAAGGGCTGGGACTCTCCGTTCGGACACCCCGAGGGGGCCCCCTCTTGGAGCCGTCTTGGGGGGCCCTTGGGTCGTCCTGAGAACCTCTTGGGCCGTCTTGGGACCGACTTGGGCAGTCTCAGGGCCCTCTTTGGAGGCCTCCGGAGCCGTTTTTGGGCGATCTTTGGGCCTCTGGGCCGTTTTGGGGCGTCGGGAACCTGACAACGCGAGAACCGCCAAATTCTTTTAAAACAAAACCGTAGGAAGTCAATCAATTTTGCGTCTCGGGGCCCTCTCGGGACGCCTCTTGGAGGCCTCTTGGGGCGTCATGGAAGCCTCCTGGGCCGTTAGGGGGCCATCTTGGGCGTCGTGTAGCGATCTTTCGGCGGCTCGGGGCTCTCTCAGACCGTGTCGGGGGCGTCCTGGAGCCATCTTGGGGCACTTCCAGAAGCCGCCCTGGCCCCCGGGGCCCCGGGGGCAAAGTTTGGCACCGAGGGGGGGTGGTCCCATTTGTCATTGTGTCCCGGGGGGGCCAGGGGCCCCAACACTCCGACATTCTATACACGCCCGAGAGGGCTCGGCTCCGGGTGGCTCCCGGGCCCGGGTCGGCCAGAGGATCTCGGAGGGACCGGCTGACTCCCGTCAGCGGTGGCCCCCGCTGAGCGCCTAGCAGGGCGCGGCGACGACGGCACCGAGAAAAAACTGCCGAAGCGACAGAGCGAGACCGAGACCGAGGGAGACCGACAGGCCGCGAGCGGCGACACAGCAACGGCTCAGTATAACCGACCGGACCGAGCCGACCGAAACCACCCATGGGCATCGATGGACCGATCCCTGTCCCCACCGGCGTTGCCTGGGCCCCACTGGCCGATTCCCCCCCCCTGGATGGGGATGTAGGCTGTTCCCCTCGGCTTTGGAGGTAGATCCCCAACTGGGGTGGTAAGATGGTGGGGATCGGGATAGGGATCAGGATGGGGTTACAAAAAAATCGGGTGAACGATACTGAACCCACCCGACTGCGACGCAACCGAACCGACCGAACCCCGAACGAACCGACACTCTTTGCGAGGGGGGGAAGCGAGGGGGGGGCGGGCCCTCTCGGAAGGCTCGTAAGTCCACCGGCCTTCTGAGACGTTTTCTGAGCCTTCCCCGAAGACGCAGAACACCTCGCAGAAAGCGCGATGGCTTCTGAGAAGTCCCGCCGCCTTCCGAGAAGGCCTTCTCCTTATCACTTTCCCCCCTCGCTCGCTCGCCGCCGACTTTTGCTTAGGGAGCCCAGGGACACACCAATAAATACACACAAATTCCATGAATCCTTCCTTATATTTTCCTCCTAGTTTCTGGGTCCTCGTTTTCCTCCCCCACTTTCCCTGTCTTCCTATCTCTTTTCTGGGGAATCGGCGATTCATTGTGTCTTTTTTCCCCCCTGCTGACTTGTCAAGGGCACCCCGAGCTGCAAAGGGGACAGCAAGAGAGCCCGGAATCGAATCGATAAATCGGCTCGGCGATCGAAATGACTCGGGTCGGCGGAAATCGGCAGCCGAGTCGGGAAAAGTCGAATCGGCGGAAATCGGCAGGCTATGATGCGTCCAATGAGAAATCGGAACCCAAATCGGGATCCCCAGCCGACTCGAATCGGAATCGGAAACCATCGAGACCGAATCGCATCGACTCGGAGGAACCGGAGTGAACCCCGACATGGGGGCAGCAGGTACGGTGTACCGGTATTAACGCAAGCTCCGTTTACGTCATGCCCATGCGGGCTCTTTGTCTCTCCTTGCGCTCCTCCTCGCCTCCAATCATTGACAGGCCTGTTCTCCACCACCACCACCACCACCACCACCACCACCACCACCACCACCACCACCACCACCACCACCACCACCACCACCACCACCACCATAAGTTGGAACTGAGAGGGGGTCCTCCTCCTCCTCCTCCTCCTCCTCCTCCTCCTCCTCCCCTCTCCTCCCCCCCTCTCTCCTCCTCCTCCCTCCTCCTCTCTTCCTCCTCCTCCTCCTTCGTCTCCTCCGTCTCCTCCCGTCTCCTCTCCTCCTCCTCCTCCTCCTCCTCCTCCTCCTCCTCCTCCTCATCCCCCCCTCCAACTTATGGCGGTGGTGGTGGAAAACAGGCCCATCAATCATTGACACCATGGGGATCGCCCGCCGAGGAGGCCCGCCGGGGCGGGGTCTGCGGGCCTGCCCGTGCCCCACAGCTGGGAGGGCAGCTCGCCCCAGGCCGCGAGCACCGCCTCGTCGGGGGGGATGCCCAGGCAGCGCCGGGGCACGTTGACCTGCGGCCGCCCGCGGGCGGGGCGGGGCGGGAGGGAGACGGGGAGGAGGAGAGGAGGACGGGGGGGAGGAGGAGGAGGAGAGGAGGAGGAGAGGAGGAGGGAGGAGGAGAGGAGGAGGAGGAGGAGGAGGAGGAGGAGGAGGAGGAGGCGGAGGAGGAGGAGAGGCGGAGGAGGAGGAGGCGAGGAGGAGGAGGAGGAGGAGAGAGGAGAAGGGGAGGAGGGAGGAGGAGGAGGAGGAGGAGAGGAGGAGGAGGAGGAGGAGGAGGAGGAGGAGGAGGAGAGGAGGCGGAGGAGCAGGAGAAGGAGGAGGAGGAAGAGGGAGGAGGTGGAGGAGAGGAGGGAGGGGGAGAGGAGAAGGGGAAGGGAGGAGGAGGGGAGGAGGAGGAGGAGGATGAGGAAGGAGGAGGAGAGAGAGGAGGAGGAGGAAGAGGGAGGAGGTGGAGGAGAGGAGGAGGGAGAGGAGGAGGAGGAAGGGAGGAGGAGGGGGAAGGAGGAGGAGGAGAGGAGGTGGAGGAGACGGAGGAGGAGGAGGAGGATGAGGAGGAGGAGGAGGATGAGGAGGAGGAGGGGGATGAGGGGGAGGAGGAGGAGGGGGAGGGGGAGGACAGTGGGGGGGGAAGAGCGGAAGGGGGGCGAGGGGGGAAGAGAGACTGAGTGTGAATCTGTCCAGGTCGCTGAGTGATGTGGAGAGAGAGAGAGAGAGGATGGTGTGAGTGAGTGAGACCGGTCGAGGACCGAATCTGAAGATGAAGCCCGACGAGGGAGACCCCGACGAGCGGGCTCAGTCCGACTCCGAACCTTGGGCCATTGCCCACTGTAGATTCTGGATATATACCCAGCTCGTGCCCAATACCTCTGATCATCTGACCGGCAACGCGCCCGCATCGGCAACAGCACCAACGATTGAGGGCACTGTGCAAACGCATCTGATGAGTTTCATGCGCCCAGCCCCCGCAATGTGCAACCCAACCCCCGAGGAAACCCGCGAAGACCTCCCCATTCACACACGGACCGTCTCTTGACAAGGCCCGGCGGGCTTTCGTGGCAGAGCTACATCATCGGAGACATCCACGGCCGCACTCAGCAATGGTCTGCTTGGTGGTGGAAGCTGGACGACGCACGGGGAAGGAGAAGGAGGGGGAGGCGGAGCAGACTGTTTTCCTGGCTCCAAGCGCCTCCGACTTTATCTTTCCCGCTCTCACGTGTCGACCGTGACACTGAGAAGGCGCAGTCCGACCGAGGAAGCCCTCCTCTCCCAGGAAAGATCAAGAAATACTTCCTCTTCTGGCACCCGCCACCTGTCGGCAACAGCACGTGCAAGAGCATCGGCGACCGTGTTACCTACAGTCGGGGCGTTGACCTAAGGAACCCTAAATAAGGAACGAGGCCCCTTTTTTCCATACTTCGATTTCCCATCGAAAACATAAGGAAACCCTGAGGCAAGCTGTGAAACAATTAAGGAACACGGAGCCCCTCCACAACGAAAAGGGTTCCTTTTTCAGAGCCCCGACTGTAGCACCACTCATTCACACCGGAACTCGCCAAGTGGTCAGATCGACGGGTGCCAGATTTGAGTTGACCTGGCCATCGCTCGGACGTCCACTCCCCGTGTTTTTTTATCGGTTTCGTGCGTGGTTTTCTCGCCAGATGATCAAGGATGCTCCTCGATGGCCCTCGCCGAGAAAAAATACACATGTCCGAGCGATGCCAGGTGACAGAATGCGCCACGAACGAGGATGGATCCCGTTCTTGGAAGCGAAAGCGTACCTCACAGCAAAGAGCAGCGTCGGGCCCTTCAATCTCAAGATAGCGCATGCTGGCCCATCCGTTCGCAAGTCCTTGATTGCCCGTGAGGTGCACCACGAGAACTTGGCAACACCTCGTCGGCGAGGAGAAGGGCGCGGAGTTCGCCCCGTGGGCCTGGCTGGCGATCGCCCACCAGACCCCCCGGAGATCGTGGCAGAAACGACCAAAGGCTCGAAACGCTTGCAACCGATGACCCAGCTCCCCGAAACCGCGCCTGCCTCGAACGCGTGCCGCCGCTGGCGTCCCTGGACAGCGACAGCGGAGCCTGTGGAGCCCCAGAGCCTCACCACGCAACAAACACATCTTTCACTACGGGACGTGAAAACGACCACAGCCACTGCTTTTCTTTTGTTGCCGCCTTCCAGCCAGCAGAAACACAGCAGTGGTTCTGGTCATTTTCGTTAAGCTTGGCACCAGGGAAACGACCACAACCACTGCTTCTTTTTCGGCCGGCTGGAAGGCGGCGCAAACAAGAAGCAATGGCTGTGGTCATTTTCCCGTCCCGCATTCACTACAGATCCGGAGACAAACCGCTGCTCCTCAACCTGCGGGGGAGAGACCGCGACCCAGCTGGATGGCAACAGCACCCGCAGTCCGAAGCAGTCAGCCGGTTCCCAGTTGGTGTAGGCTTCCCCAAAGCAGCCCGAATGCTCGTAAGCGGAGCTCTAGAATTGCAGTCGCAGCCCGACGGTCGATCTTTCATCGCGGACACAACTGATCAACCAGTATGCCTTTGACCGCCGCAGCCTCAGCCCGACTGACTCGAGGCCAAGAAGCCCCCGTCGCAATGGTGATGAGAAACTCGGATAACCGAATGCCTCTGTCCAAACTCAACAACTGCCCATGCAATCAAGGTGGAGATACACAATCAATGCCGTCCTCCATTCCGCCTCCACAGAACCGTTTGGCAATATCTCGCCACAACTTCCCCGACATTGAAGACTGAACATCCACGCACTGGTGGGAAAATGGCAATCTATGGCTTCACTCTCGGGCGTCTCAGAAAGCAACGTTCAATCACTGGCCGAAATTGGGTCCCAGCCGTGAGGAGAGGGAGGAGGGAGGAGGGGGAAGGGCGGGAGGGGGGACGGTGGGGGAGGGAGGGGAGGAGGACCAGGAGAGGAACTGAGGGGAAGGAGGCGAGGAGAAGGAGAGGCAGCGAGGGAGAAGAGGGTGGAGTAGGGAGTAGGTCCGAATCCAAGGAACCGCCTGGGCACGCCGCGGGTGAGGCTGGAGGAAGGAAGGCCAGACATCCAACGCCTTGAACCATTTCGGACGGATGTCGTTCTGCCTTTTCAGCCCTCGGGGACTGCTTCCGAGCTCCTGGCCCGTAAACGCTACTCGGACTGAAGAACTCGTCCCAGAGAAGCGCCCCGGGGTCCCCAACCCGTTTCCCTCAGGTTCCCTCTTCCGTGATAGAGAATAATGGGGGGAGGAGGGAGGAGGTTAGGAGGCACTTCCTGGGAGGTCTCCGTGGCGACGACTGCGGGCTGCATGAGCCCGATTGAGGGGCCGAGCATGTGATCAGATTAAACGAGATTAAACGAGATTAGACGACATTAAACGGAGTGGAATGGGGTTCAACGAGATTCGGTCAGATTATGCTGGCTTTCGACCACGGATATACCAGCGCCGATGCTGAAGTCAACCTCCCAGGAGTTGCAACCTACTGGAGACAAGGGTTCAGGGAAAGGGGCACGAGGGAAAGGGGCCCTGGCGGAAGCGGGTCTGGGGCGACCCCATGGACGTGTTTTACATTCTGACTCGTTTTTGTACGTTGAAGCTGGCAACGAATCTCCAGGGCCCATATGCGAGCGGCGAAGGCAAGCATTGGCAGCACGCCCTCGGGGAAAAGGCGAGGGGGAATCTTTGAAGTCCCCCCCACAATCTGACACGCCCGGTGGGAGGCCTTCGAAAGCGTCTCAAAGTCGAAGGTGCTTTGGAAGAGTCCTCTCGCATTCACAGAATGCAGGCCTCCGCTACCTTGCACCCTGGGTGCGCCGCCGACAGGAGGAGGGACGAGAAGGAGGGGAGAGGAGGAAGATCTTGCTCCAGACCGAAAGGCTCGTGGGTGCCAGCGTCCGATTGTGGTTCCGTAGGTTGGTTGCCCCCCCCACCCCTGATGCACGGTGGTCGCGGGCGACCACACCCACACCACAACGAAGCTCGCCACTGTATGCTGCATACACCCTGCGAAATGCTTAAGAAATCATGGGTTAAGAAATTCACAGTCTCAGAATTTGAATAACAACACAGGATTTCCATGAAAATCTCAGGACTTACATTGAAGTGTTAAGAATAATCGAGACTCTGGCCGAACACGTAAGTTTTCTTAAGCATCGCCTAGGGTGTACTCATCTGTCTGAGGATTTGACTCCGGTGGGAGGAGGAGAAGGACGAGCACGGCTGGTTCCTGTCGTGCCGGCGCAGATGCTGTTTTTTTCTGACGCTGCGCGGATCGTTGAGATCCTAAACGGTCTCCGCCATGCGAAACATGAGACCGTTCAACATTGGCCTGCTTCAGACCGCATGGGGCCTTCAACCTGGAATTCCCGCGCTAACATCGCCGCCGCGTCGACGCAATGCGAACCTGCCGTATTACGTCCAACGTCAAGACCGCTGCGCCGACCAACGCGAACCTGAAGCGAGCCTACTCTTCCAAGATCTTCGAACTAGCATCGGTTCTGGCTTCCGAACATGCCCTTCGAGTGCTTTCAAATGTTTCTGCTTCAAGGCATCCCCTTCGCGACCGAAAGGCTCGCTTCCAATGATCTGGCCTTGACTAACATAAACAGGGCACCCTGATTTTTGGGACACCCCCGCTGTCAGCCCACACTGATACGACCGCCAAATAGAGGATACAAACAAAGGAATGGCGTTGCCGGGCATGGCTTGGTATGGCATGATTTCAAGAGATGGGGTCGACAAACACACGCTCGGATTTCATCTCTGGCGGTGGACGTCATGGCTTCAAAAACTTTTGGCCGTACTGCCCGCGTGGGCGCCTTCAACGACCAGGGGCAGATGTAGTCACTGGGCTCGACCAGCCGGGTCTCCTTGAGGAAGACCCCCCAATCCTCGGTGCGAGATGGCCCGACAGGCATGAGGGAGCAGGGGGGGGAGAAGAGGAATGCCAGTACAGAGAGGGACAGGGAGGGGGGAGGGGAAGAGAGAGGGGTGGGCAGAGATGGAAGCGTAGGGACGAAGGATATTGGCGCAGACTGGTGGCGCCTTGGTAGAATGAGCATTGGGAAGTCCCTCGCACGTTGGAAGGAGTATCTCGTGGCAGCTCATAAGTAGACTCATAGACGTGAGGCGCGACTGCGCGGATCCTTTCTTTAACCGCAGCAGCTGCTTACTTTAAGCCACAACACATGTTTCGATGTAATCGTAAACTGTGTGCCTGCGAATACGACCGAACGTGCCGCTGGAAATTCGTCGCATCAAGTCGGCGATCTGAACGTACCACAACTTGTAGAACGTGGTCTTAATACCAATTACGAACTAGAAGACGTGACCCTCGAATGCGGAACAGTTCCATGATCGATTTTGAGCTTGCGAAGTCCTAGAGATTGTGCCATTCGCCGGGGATGAATCTACACCGATCCTGAGCGCAAGACAAAGCCTGGGCAGCATTGGTGTAGATGTATGGTTGGCGCTCACTGGCAAAGCAACCACCATAACGCATGATCATTCTGGGCTTCGTCGGACCTGCCGGACCCGTTCGCATGTCTGCTTGCCCCGGTTCTCGACCGCAGCGATGCTTCCTCCTTGGATGTGCCCTATCCCACCTGTAAAGGGACCCTGGGACACAGAAATACATATACACACACAAAAAACAGGATTCCCCCTATTATCATATTTGTTCTGGGTTTATGTCGTCCCCCCCCACGTCCCATATCTTCCCATATTTTCTGGGTTTCTTTATTCACCCCCACGTCCCATGTTTTCCCATATTTTCCGGGGAATCGACGATTCATCATGTCTGTATTTTTGTTCCCCTCCTGAAGCGATTCACGACATGCGGCGACGTCCTGATTTTTTCAGGACGGCGTCCCTGGAAATCCCGACCCTTTCCCCGGGGCTGGTTTTTCATCCTGAGCTGTTTCTTGACGGTCCTGGGGCCCGGCGAGGGTCTCTAGAGGCCGCAAACGGCGAAAAACCTCCGTTTTTTTTACGACGCGATCATGTCTGGGATGCCTCCTCGTCGGAGGTGCCCTGCCCCACCTGCTCGTGGCTCCCCTGGGTACCTCTGGGCGTACGCCGTCCACCGCTCCTCCCGACACGCACCGGACGCAGGGTCGGGAAAGCCCAGCTTCAGATCGATAATGCGCATCGTTTATCCTCCTCCTCCTCCTCCTCCTCCTCAACCTCCTCCTCCTCCTCCCCCCTCCCCCTCCTCCTCCTCCTCCTCCTCCTCCTCCTCCTCCTCCTCCTCCTCCTCCTCCTCTCCTCCTCCTCCCCCTCCGCCTCCGCCTCCTCCGCCCCTCCGCCTCCTCCCCTCCCTCCTCCCCTCCTCCTCCTCCTCCTCCCGCCTCCTTCTCCTCCTCTCCTTCTCCTCTCCTCCTCCTCCTCCAACTACCTCCTCCTCCTCCTCCTCCTCCTCCTCTCCCTCCTCCTCCTCCTCCTCCTCCTCCCTCATCCTCCTCCTCCAACTCCTCCTCCTCCGCCTCCTCCTCCTCCGCCTCCTCCCCCTTCTCCGCCTTCTCCTCCTCCTCCTCCTCCTCCTCCTCCTCCTCCTCTCTGCAGGGGCCCGATGCAGCCCCTCCGGAGGGGCCCATGCTCGGTTACGAGGCGGCCGCCCGCGAGGCGGTCCGCGACGCCGGAAGCTTTTGGGAAGGCGCAGGCCCAGGCGCGGGCACTGGCACCGGGTCTGAGCAGCGTTTATCCGATCCCCATCCCCAGCGGCGTGGCCTGGGCCCCACTGGCCGATTTACCCCCCTAGATGGGGATATAGGTCGTCCTCTTCGGGTTTCGAGGGTTGTATCCCCAACTGGGGGGTAACTCGGTGGGGGTCTCGAAGGGGATGGGGATGGGGATGGAGATTGGTTAAACGATACCGAGACAAGTCGGACCGGCGATCGACATGCATCGGATCGGCGGACATCGGCAGCCGAGTCGGTGAAAGTCGGATCGGCAGAAATCGGCAGGCTGCTGTAGGCCTCCATGAAGAAAGTGGGTCCCACATCGGAGTCCCAAGTCGAGTCGGATCGGAATCGGAGGCCATCGAAGTCGAATCGAATCGAATCGGAAGAGTCGAAACGAGCTCTGTCTCCCTCCTCCTTACACGGATCGGACGAGAGGGTGGGTTAGGAAAGAAGGGCGAAGTGACTCTGCTCACGCAGCTGCTTCTCCCGGCGCCGGGGGCAACACCGCATCGAGGCAAGCACCCCGCGACAGGGCCGAGACCAACGGCACGCGGCATAATTCGCCCCCCCCCCTTTTCCGTCCGCCCCTCCTTACCCCCCGCCCGATTGGCAGTGAGAGGGTGTCAGCAGCGCTCGAGTAGGGGAGCGACTACAGGATTGATTTACCCCCAGAACTGATTTCCTCGTAAAGTCTACGAGCAGATGCGTAGAATGCTCTGCAGCTCTATGGAGCACTCTACATAGCCTGCGAGGCTTCAACCAGGAGAACAAACATTATTTTGGGGCAAAGCAATTCTGTAGTCGATCCCCTCCCTGCTCGAGGAGCGTGTCTGCTGCAGGCCTCGCGTGGACGGACCCAGAGTTAGGTTGGGCATGTCCCCCTAAAGGCGGATTTGGGGCGAACAAAAATCAAAAATAGCCAAAACGTTGTTTGACTATTCTTGAATTTTCCTCCTGTAGAGGGGCAGGCCCGACTAAAACCCCAAGAGCATGCTGGCACGGCGTGCGGCTCCGAGACCCCCTCCCCCCCTGGCAGCCCTGCCCTCCCCTCGCACCGCGGGCGGACCCCTGGCCACTCCCATGATGGGCCTGTCTTCCACCACCACCACCATAACCTGGAAGGGGAGGGGGTCCTCCTCCGCCTCCTCCTCCTCCTCCTCCAACTTATGGTGGTGGTGGTGGAAAACCAGCCCATCATCCCAGGCCTCTGGGCGCCCCCCTGGGCGGAGGCCTGCGCACCGGCGCCGCACGGCCGTGCTCCCGGGGGAGCTCCCGCCGCCAGCGAGCCGCCGCCGCCGTTTCGCCGCTCGGTGGCCGCTTGTGGGGTCCCTTTCCCGGGCGACGTCAGGTCGGGCAGGTCCTTCTACAGCTATGCTGCTTCCATCGTGCTTGAGGGCCACATTCCAGAAATAGTTTCGAGCGCCCAGAATTGTGTCGAAGGAGTATCGAAACGGTGTCGGGCGAGTGCCTCCCAGGGCCCGACATGTGAAAACCCTCGAGCTTCCATATTTTTTGGGCGCTTGAAATTCTTTCTGGTGGTCAAGGCTAAAGTAGGTCGGAACATCATAATCCTACAGGCGGACTCTGGAAGAACAGTTTTTTCAAACATAGCTCAACGAGCTCGACAGATCGTCCCCAGACGAGTTTCCAACTTTTCTTCAGTATTCCTGCTGAAGAGGGACATGCCCGACATGCCCGACTTAAGGGTAACGGTCGTTACTTTGGGGGGGGGTTCTGGCGGGAGGGTAACAGTAATGGCTGCCGGGGCGTGACCCCGCCAGGGTGCGTCCGCGCCACCGGCGCATCAGTCGCCTGTGTGTACCACACTCCCTGTGTAGGCGGCAATGCCCAACACCAGCGTACAACACAGCGCCGACTGTGTGCACCACCATGCCTCCGTACACCAAAACAGACGCGTTCACCGCAACACCACGTCGTCTGTGTACACCGCAGTGCCTGTGTATACTGTGCGCAACAGCGTCTGTGTACACCCCATTGTCTGCGTGCACCAAAGCGCTTGTGTACACCGCACTGCCTGCGCGCAGCAGAGCCCTAATATACCACCAGATAGGGCCCGCCTTCCGAGTAGGGCACCTTAGCAATGAATCCACCTGACCGATGCGCACCGCAATCGCCTGCAAGCGCTACAAGACGCATGTGAGCACCGAAACATGCCTTTGAGCACCACGCCATGCCCGTGAGCTCGACGACGCAACAGGTGGGCAGCCTGCGAGCGCCACAACACGCTTGTGAGAACCAACACATGCCCTTCAGGGCCACGCCATGCCTGTGAGCATGGCGGCATACCTGCGAGGGGTCCGCCCCCCCAGCATCCAGGAGGGGGTCCAGGCCACCCCACCCAATACGATCGTTAGCATTACCCTGGGCGGGGTGGGGTGGCCCGGGTAACGTGCTTGACTCTGGGAAGTGGAAACAAAAACGCCCTCCCGGCCTCCAAGATAGTCGCCCGATGCCGAGCCCGAGATGCACCGCCTCCACTTCCTCGGGCAGACGTGAGACTCGGGTTCGGGGGACTCGGATTGGCCTGACGGGGCCATCATGAAACTGGCAAGACCCGGTCTGAAACTCGACGCGACCTTCCGCTGCAGACACCCCGCCGCGAGCACTGGACCGTGAAAACCCAAAGGGCGCGCGCCGGAAAGCGCCGGCAGGCCCGAGTTCGGGCGCCCTCGGGCCTGGTGCGCCTCCCCGAGTCTCGGGCCCTGCCCCCGGAGCAACGCCCCTCCGCCCGCCGCTGAGGCCCGGGCGCCGTCGTCGTCTCCCTCGTCCCCCAGCACCTCGAAGTTCAGCACGCCCCGGCCGGCCTCGCCGGGGTCCTGGAGAAGGAGGAGGAGGAGGAGGAGGCGGAGGAGGAGGAGGAGGGGGAGGAGGAGGAGGAGGAGGAGGAGGAGGAGGAGGAGGAGGAGGGGGAGGAGGAAAGGGAGGAGGGGGAGGAGGAGGACCCCAGGAAGGGCGGCCCCGCGGGCACCACAAGCGCGCCGGGGGAGCGGGCAGCGGCCCGCCCCGCCCTTCCCCGGCGCGGCCGAGAGAGCAGGGAGCGGGCGGGGCCGCACGCGGAGGCGCGCCGCGGTGGATTGCAACGGCAGCGTGCCCTGCATGGCACATCTGGCGGATGCCGGAAGCCCGGAATCCCCAACACGCTTGCATCTCTCAGGGTCAGGTCGGGCCTGTCCCCCGCCCCCCCTACAGGGGGATGTTGGACGAGAAATGAGAGATAGCCCAAAGCACTCAAAACAAGCCCAAATATAATCACCCCTCCCCCGCCGCGCCGGGGGGGCACCGTGAGGCTGGCCCCCGCCGCCACCCCAACCTCACGGCCGCCCCCCCCCCCCCCCGCGCGGCGGAGGGCACCGTGAGGCTGGCCCCCGCCGCCGCCCCCACCTCACGGCACCCCTCCCCCTCCCCCGCGCAAGGGGGGGTCCGCGAGGCTGGCCGCCACCGCCGCCCCAACCTCACGGCACCGCCCCGCCTCGCCGAGGGGCACCGTGAGGCTGGTCCCTGCCGCCGCCCCTGGGGGGTCCGCGTTCTGAAACAATCACGAAGAAAAGGAATAGCTCAGAATGGGTAGGAGTAGCTAGGAATGGGTAGGAATAGCTAGGGCTAGGTAGGGATACAAGAAGCAGGGATAACTAGGAATGGGTAAGAATGGTAGGCAATACATAGGAACAGCTCGGAGTTTGTCGGAATAGCTCGGAATCAGCAGGAGTAGCGAGGAATAGGTAGGGAGGGATAATAATAGCAAGGAATAGGTAGAAAGTAGCCAGGACTAGCTGTGAACAGGTAGGAATAGCTAGGAATAAATATGAATTGCCAGGGATATCTAGGAACAGGTAGGGATGAAGAGCTCGGAATCGGCCGACCTCCGCTTGCCGGGGGTGAAAGGGCGCGTGAGATGATTGGCTGTCTCCCTTCCCCATTTCCCCCTTCCCTTGGGTCCCAAATTCGATTAGAGGAGGGCAACCCGGGGAGGGGGGCCCGCCGGGGAAGACCCCAGGGGGGGGGGGGACCTCACCAACGCATCCCCGGGGCCCCTGGAGCTTTCAGATCCACCCTCCCACGTCTCCAGCAAGCCCATTCTGCCTTCCAAGGCGGCTCAAGGCAAGAGACCCGAGATAGGCCCCAAGGGGGGCCCAAACGGGCCCAGGAGATCACAACACACATCCAAGAGCCCTCTCTCCTCCTCCTCCTCTTCCTCCTCCTCCTCCTCCACCTCCTCCTCCCTGTTAACCCCCTTCTCCTCCTCGTCGGTTGGCTCTCCTCCCTCCCATCCTTTTTTCTCCTTCTCCTCATCATCCTTCTCGCCGTCGTTCTCTTGCTGCGAGGCCTCTTCTGGGGCGTACGCCCCCGGGCCACGACTTTCTCAAGTGGAAGCCGCGAAAAAGGGGGCACGCCGCCGCCAGCACGCGAACCGGGCGAAGAACCGCCCCCGCCAGCGGTGGGCGGGACAAGCGCGGGGGGGGGGAACGGCGAGGGGGGGGGAGGGGAGGGATGCAGGAGCGACACGATTAGAAAAACAGCTTCTGGCCGAAAATCCTAATCGCGTCCTTCCCCGTTGTGGAATCTTGGGGGGGAGGGGGGGGGCACTTTCTCTAATCGGGAACCCACATTATAGAAGAAGAGAAAACGCCATAGGCGTGAACTTTTGGTGCTCCACGCGGATTTCTTGAATCTGCGCTGGGCCCTCCCTGGCGCGCGGAGCGCGCCAGGGGCGGCGCGGCAGGCGCCGCCTGGGGGGGGGGGGGGGGGCAGCGCGGATCCAAGTAATCCGCGCGGAGAGCCAAAAGTTTATATCTCTGTCGTCTTTACTCCTTCGAGGGCAACGGCATGGGCACCGTTTCCTCTTCTGATCCTCGGGCCTCAGGCTTCCCCAGCCGCGTAGGCGAAGCAAGCGGTGGCGACGAGGGCCTCCCAAGAGACCACCCCCCCAAAATGGGAAGACGAGGGCAGGGCAGCGGTATGGGTGCATTTTCCTCCTCTTGGCCCTCGGGCCTCAAGTTGCCCCAGCCGCGCAGGGAGGCTCAGATTCTCTAACAGCCTCGAGCTGCGAGAAGTTCGGGCCGCTGGTCCCCTCCCCGGGGCTGCGGCCCCCGCTTCCAAGACCTCCTCCTCCTCCTCCTCCTCCTCCTCCTCCTCCCTGCCTCCCTCTTCCCTCCTCCTCCTCCTCTTCCTCCTCCTCCTTTCCCTCCTCCTCCTTCTCCTACTTCTCCTCCTCCTCCTTTTCCTCCTCCTCTTCCTTCTCCTCCTTCTCCTCCTCCTTTTCCTCCTCCTTTTCCTCCTCCTTTTCCTCGTCCTCCTCCTCCTCCTCCTCCTCCTCCTCCTCCTCCCTGCCCCCCTGCCTCCTCTCCCCTTGCCTCCCTGCGTCGACCCACCTTCCCCTCCCAGGCAGTGCCGGCTCTCCGGGGTCCCCTCAGGCCGCATCGCCCCCTCCCAGAGCCGCCCGCGCCGCGCAGCAGGAGGAGGAGGAGGAGGAGGAGGAGGAGGAGGAGAGGGAGGAGGAGGAGGGAGGAGGAGGAGGAGGAGGGAGGAGGAGGAGGAGGAGGAGGGAGGAGGAGGGAGGAGAGGAGGAGGAGGAGGAGAGGAGGAGGAGAGGAGGAGGAAGGAGGAGGAGGAGGAGGAGGGAGGAGGAGGAGGAGGAGGAGGAGGAGGAGGAGAGAGGAGGGAGGAGGAGGAGGAGGAGGAGGAGGAGGAGGACGGAGGAGGAGGAGGAGGAGGAGGAGGAGGAGGCAGAAGCTTCCTCGCGCATCGATCCTCGGGAAGAGCCGGTGACTCCCTCCATGGGTGAGCCCCCTTTGACACTGCCTGACCCTCCCCGTTCTCCTCCTCGATGTGGACGTCCGACATGGTGCGGTGGAGGCGCTCCTGCTCCTGGCTGGGGACGAGGGAGGTATAGAGAAATGATGATGGTGATGCTGATGGTGATGGTGATGGTGATGATGCTCATGCTGATGCGGATGCGGATGCTGATGCTGATGCTGATGATGCTGATGCTGATGCTGATGCTGATGCTGATGCTGATGATGATGATGGTGATGATGATGATGATGATGATGATGATGATGATGATGATGATGATGGTGGTGATGATGATGATGCTGATGCTGATGCTGATGCTGATGCTGATGCTGATGCTGATGATGATGATGATGATGATGATGATGATGATGATGATGATGATGACGCTCCCGACGCTCCCGGCACCCCTGGCGCTCCCGACGCTCCAGACTCTCCCGGCGCCACCGGCGCACCCGGCGCTCCGCTCCTGGCGCTCCCGACGCTCCCGACGCTCCTGACGCTTCCGACGCTCCCGACGCTGCTGACGCTTCTGACGTTCCCGACACTCTCGAGCTCTTGACGCTCCCGGCGCTCCCGGCGCACCCAACGCTCCTCATGACGCTCCTCCTGGCACACCTGAGGCTCCTGACGCTCCCACCGCTCCTGGCGCTCCCGGCGCTCCAGACGCTCCGGGCGCTCCAGGCGTTCCGGACGCTCCTGGCGCTCTCGTGACGCCTCTGACGCTCTGGCGCTGCGGAGCTTCAGAAGCTCTGGTCTGGCGCTCCTGGCGCCTCGAGATGCCCCTGACGCTGTGGAACTTCCGAAACTTCGGAAGGTTGGTGGCACCCGGTGCCCCATCAATCGAGGAGGACGACGATGAGGATGAGGACCAGTGTTAGCACAAGACCCATCAACGATATTGCAACACACCCGCCACCTCCAAGTTCCTTCTTCTTAGTTACACTCCTACAGCGATTCATCTGTACTGAAAGAAAAGGCCCCGTTGGAAGACAACAATTTGAAAATCCAGAACTGTGCCAGAATAATATTGCTGGGAGCTCAACACCGCGAATCGCTGTTACCGTTGCGTCTAGACGATCCCAAGCCGTGCCAAAACACCTCTCCCGGGGCTTCAACACAAAGAACCCACGTGAATGTTGCGCCCTGACGTTCCGACATCGTGCCCTAATACCATCCGTCTCTGGGACGTTAACCATGCGAATCCTTGAAACGGCGGCAATCCCTTAAGACGTACTTATGAGCCTGGCGCTATGGCGGGAACCACATCTTGAAAAAGGACCGCCCCCTATCCGTGAAGCTCTTGCGAACGTTTGATACAAATGTGCGCGGCGCTACGGCGATAACCACAGTTCGAAAACCGCCCAGCCTCCATGCTTGAAACTCTTGCGAACTCTAGACGCGAATGTGCGCTGCGATACCGCGAGAACCACAGGTTTGAAAGCTGCCCGCCCTCCACCCGTGGAAAAAGCATTCAGCAGATCCTGAACTTCAGGATCATACCTGGTGAAGATATCTCAGGCGAAACGCCCGGCCCGCCCTTTCGACCTGCCTCGGGGTGCGACAGGGAGGAGCTTTTTGTAAGGAAACAGATATATATATATATATATATATATATATATACATATATATATATATAAATATGGAGGGCGGGGGCGCAGGGAGAACGGCGGAGGAGGAGCAGGGAGTAGAGAGGAGGGAGGAGGGGGAAGGATGAGGAGCAGGAGGAGGAGACATGATAAGGAGACGCAGAGGTGAGGATGAGGAGGAGCAGAGATGAGACGAGGAGGAGATATTGACAAGGAAGAGGGTTGGAGGAGGGAGAGCAGTGTGCCCACGGGTCGTGCACTGCCGGGGCAGCGCCAATCGCAGCCGACCCTGAGCAGCGCGGCCGACGGCTGCAAAACGGGTCCACTGCGGTGCGCGGCGTGGTGGAAGGATGCCGTCGTCTGGATGTGTTGTTGTTGTTGTTGTTGCTGTTGTTGGTGTTGTTGTTGTTGTTGTTGGTGTTACTGTTGTTGTTGTTGTTGTTGTTGTTGTTGTTGTTGTTGTTGTTGTTGTTGTTGTTTCGGGGAGACGTAAGACCCGGGTACGGGGGACTCGGAAATCCCCGACGAGGTCGTCAAAAAAATGACGAGGCCGAGCCTGCATTTTGACGAGGCCTCCCGCTGCAGACATCCCACGAAACTCCTCCTCGTCAAAATCCGAGGCGCGGTCATCAAAAAACGATGGCGAACCCGAGTCCTGGTAAACCCGGGTCTTACGCTCCCCCGATTGTCGTTGTTGTTGTTGTTGTTGTTGTTGTTGTTGTTGTTGTTGTTGTTGTTGTTGTTGTTGTTGTTTCTTCTTGTTTAAAAAGTCGGATGGGATCCTGGGATGATCTGAGCCTCAGGGCGTTGTCCACCAGCTGCGCCTTGTCGAAAGGCTCTTTTGAGGGGACCGGGATCGCTCGGAGCGGACCTGGAGGAGTACCTCGACAAACCCACGGCGGGCCTTTCCGCCCTCTTTCGGGGCCTCGGGTGACCCTGCAGTGCAGACGCTGAGTGCAGACCCTGCAGTGCATCGATCCAGCTCGAGGAGGCCCTGCAGTGCAGAAGCTGAGTCGGCTCACCTCGCGCCTCGCCCCGTGCGAAGCGCAGAGGAGCGAGGGGGGAGCGGGGGAGGGCAGAGCGACGACAGGGGGAGGGCAACTGTGGGCAGGGAGGGGGGAAGGGTAGATGGACGAGGGGGGGCAAGCAGATCTCCATCCCTCGGCCCTTTCTCTTGGGCCTCCTCCTCGATCCTCCTTCTCCTCCTCGATCCTTTCTCTTGGGCCTCCTCCTCCTCGATCCTCCTCCTCCTCGATCCTTTCTCTTGGGCCTCCTCCTCGATCCTCCTCTGGAGGGAGGAGGGGGGGCCGATGGAGCAACGCACACGGAGCAGCGACCGAGCGGCACGAAGAGATCAGAGATGTGCACGCGGAGGCGCTAGTGTCAGGTCGGGCCTGTCCCCTGCACAGGGAGGCTTTGGACGAGAGGTAAAACAACCAACCACTTTTAACACATTATCAATCGTACATACTTTTTTTGAAGACTTTTTTAACTGTTAGTTTTTTGTTTTGACCAATCAATGGCCCCCAGACTTTCTGTTTTGACTATTTTCAGATATTCCTCAGGTAGAGGGGAAAGGCCCGACTGAACGCTAGTGGTGGCAGGAGGTGGATTGGCGGCGGGCCTGGCGGGTGACATAAGTGAGAGGGGGGAGGCCTTCTCGGAAGGCGGCTGGGCTTCTCAGACGCCCTCGTGCCTGCCGAGAACAGACGAGCGCGTTCCACGACTCGCCAGGTAACCACTCGCAAATAGCCTGGATCTCCCCGCGGGGGATCTGCGAGAGATTACATCGAAGCAGACGTGTGTTTTTCGGACGCTTGCGAGTAGGCACTTTGCGAGAAGTGGAACGCGCTCGGTGAGAGAAGTGCCCTCTGAAAACAGACACGGCTTCTCAGAAGGCCGGGGAGCTTCTGAGAGGCCCCGCCGCCTTCTGAGAAGGCCCGCCCCCTCTCTCAATGCCCCCCCGGGGCTCGCCGCCGAATCGGCGGGAGGAATACTTACGGAAGTGCTCGCTATCTTTACGGGGGCTCTGGAGGATTACGAGTTCTCACTGCACCGACCTTGCAGACGTGCTGTAGCGGATGTTCGCGTGGATTGTTGTTAATGCAAAACCCCGAAACCTCGAGCGAAAAACGGAATGCATCTCACGTGGATGTTCTGTGGTCTTCATCCTGGCCGCAGAAAATCGCAAGAAAACTCACATCGACATCCGGAAAGGGACTCTCCAGGACAATCCGGGCCCATCCCATGGTCTTCCGAGCGAAATCCGCTCTGCGAAATTGGCGCCACGAGAGTTCCGTCGATATACGCAGAAAGCATCTACACACCACCACCGTGCCAGGCCAGGGCCATCCTGGGCACCTGGGATGGTGTATACGCCATCCTGGCCGAGGCCAGGAGGGCCTCCACACCCTCCCGGGGCCCAGGATGGCCCCGGCCTGGCACGGTGGTGGTGGTGTATAGATGCCTTCGCTGCACGACATTTTTTTGGGGGGCTCTGGAGGAGTCTCGAACCTCTCGGCTCTCGCGGGGGTCATCCCGGGAGGAGCCGCCACGCCGGCGGCCGCCCCCGGCAGCCGGGGAGGGGGAGGCTGGACGGGGGGAGGGGTGCGGGTGGCTCCCGAGGGCCCTCCTGCTTCGCTGTGCTGTCCCACCCCTCAGCTCCACAGTCGTCGCCCTCCCACTGGCTCCTCCTGCTCCTCCTCCTCCTCCTGCTCCTGCTCCTCCTCCTCCTCCTCCTGCTCCTGCTCCTCCTCCTCCTCCTCCTCCTCCTGCTCCTCCTGCTCCTCCTCCTGCTCCTCCTCCTGCTCCTCCTCCTCCTCCTCCTCCTCCTCCCCGTGCTCCTCCCCGTGCTCCTGCGCTCCATCCTCCTGGTTCTCGTCCTCGATCTCGTCCTCCTCGTCCTGCTTCTCTCCCCATTCCGTGACTCCCCCTCCTCCTGCTCGAGCTCCCCGTCCTCGTCCCTCCTCCCGTGGCGGAGTCGGGTCCTGCCGCGACGCCGCGGCCGCCTTGCTGGACACGCCCTCCAAGAAGTGGCTGAGCAGTGGCCTGACAGGCTCACGCAGAAGGAGGGCGCGCGTGAGTTGTTTCGTACATCGTCATCTTGGATGCATCTGAAGCCTGACTGGGGCGGCCAATAATGTGCAAAACGAGGCGGCTCTCAGCCCCTCGAAGAAACATCCAGTCGCAGATGGGGCACAACCCTCTCGCTCGCGTAATTAGCGCGGCGCGTGCTGCCAGCACGGAGAGCTCCTCTGGCGGGGGGAGTGCGAACCGCGGCGCAAGGAGGAGGACCAGCAGGAGTCCTGGAGGGGAGGGGTCGGAAGAGGATGTTCCTCTCGGGGGATCTCGGCTCGAATAAGATATGCTGCGTTCTGCGAGGCTCTGGGGGGCGTTGTGGAGCTTCTAGGGAGACAGGGCAGGGACGAGAGGACGATTCATGGTCACGGGGATGGGGATGGTGGAGATCGCGTTTTTTTTTTTTTTTTTTTTGTTTTTTTTTTTTTTTTTTTGTTTTCCCCCCCCCCCCCCCCCGTTTTTTTTTTTTTCTCTCTCTCTCTCTCTCTCTCTCTCCCTCTCTTCTGCCTTCAGCAACACTTGAGGGGGCGGGGTGGGGCAGCGGCATAGAGGGTGGGAGGTGCTGAGGGAGATGGGGCAGGAGGGAAGAATAGGGATGGGGGGAGAGGGGGTGATTGGGCGGGGAGGCAGGAGAAGACGAATCGAAGAGGCAACAGCAACATACGTACACAAACTTCTGGCACTCCGCGCGGATTTCCTGTATCTCCGCTGGACCCCCTCCCTGGCGCGCGGAGCGCGCTAGGGGAGCCGCCAAAGGCGCCGCCGGGGGGGGCCCAACGCGGATCCAAGAAATCCGCGCGGAGTGCTAAGAGTTTATGTTTATGGCGATGTTTCTTCTTCGAGCGAAATTCACCAAGGACAGATGGGGAGGTTGCTAGGGGGTCGGGGCAGAGGGCAGACGAGGCAGGCGTGCACGGCGGGTTTGTGCTGCTGCTGCTGCTGCTGCTCCTCTTCCTCCTCCTCTTCCTCCTCCTCCCTCTCTCCTCCTGCTGCCTCTCCTCGTCCTCCTCTGCTTCCTCCTTCCTCCTCCTCCTCCCTTCCTCATCCTACTCCTTGCCGCACCTCCGCGGCCTCCTGACGCCTCCTTTCCCTTCAAACTCCTTCCCCGCGGCCGCTCCATCCTGCCCTCCTCCGCATCCTCGGTGTTCACCTTCACCTTCCGCCGCCTTCCCGCATGCTGACCTCTGGCGTCATCGGGATCCCAGCAGCGTGGCCCCTTCCTCTGTGTGGGTCAAGAGGCTCACCGTTCGCTCGAAGGTGTGTTGGACCAGCCTCCTGAGGTCATCCTGGATCGTTTAGGCAGTTCGTTGGCTGACTTTTTTGCCAGGCTTGAAGCACACGACCATCAGTATGCCCAGGTTGCGGTCGATGCGAAGCGTCAGCACGTTGAGCAGTGTGAGTGCACCTGGGATTTTCTGTCGAGGGCGGTGCAGATCGTCTGTGCCGAGGCCGCTAGCGTGGACGCTCCTGGGCAGGACTCGGAGACATGTTCCAATAAAGCTCCTTCGCTCGAATTGTTCATCAGGATCCGTTTCCTATAGCTGACCGTCAGGAATGGAGGTGCCGTGCTTGTAACATCTCCGCTACCACTGATATGACCCTGAAGAGGTTGCTCAGCGGTGCTAGCAGACTGTGCCAGCCGACACGTGTGCAGAAGTGGCGTGCTGACCAGTTTTTCGAGCTGCACCCCAAAGCTACTCTGTATGCTACCCAGCGTGCGCCCATAAATAGTGACTTCCCTGGTTCGGGTGTCCCGGGGCCGAGTGTGTCCAGCGGGTCTGTGCTTGATGATGGGTGCAGGCTAGCTGGATTAGAAGTCTTTGAAATTTTGGCCACGTGCCTGTCAGGCACGATCTGGCCAATCTTAGTTGGATACGTGCATCCTACCTCGTCTTGCCCGATGTGTCGTGCAAGCAACTAAAAGAGAGGTGTCTTGGAGTTGCGCAGCATGAGAACACTCGAGCCACTTATGTGCGTTTGTTGCGACATGCTGCTCTTGGCCTGCACCCCAAAACTGGGGCGCGCCTTTCTCAATCTGGCGATGGCTCCCAGCCAGTGCCTTCGCCCTCCGTCCCTGTCCCCGCTGACGCCCCTGGCGTGGCCCCCAGCGGTTCGGTGGCTCCCGTGCTCGGAGATGTGTCCGCCCGCCCTATGGTTGTGGCGGGCCGAGCCGCCGACCGGGATTCGGTCTCGCGGCGATGATGGTAGCTCTGATTGGGGCACTACAGATTGGACTGGTTGGTGCAGCCGTCAGTGGGATGGCTGCCGGCCTGCGGTGTGGAGCACTGAGGCAGTCTCAGCGACCGTCGCAGCTGCTGCTCTTCCCCTGCATTGCCCCCGCGGTGCAGTGTTCGGTACTCCAGATTTCGTAATAAAAGGGAGGGGGTCTGGACCCTGCAAGACAAGCCATTTCAGACCTCCCCCGTGGGAGAACCCTCCCAAACATCGTCCCCAGGCCCTCCAAGATAGCCTGGAAGAGACCCCCCCCCGAAATGAGACACCCCCTCCCTTTAGTACGAAATCTGGAGTAGCCTTTTGCTCGTTTTTCTCTCTGGGGGCCTCCTCGGAGGCCCTCGCCGCCGCCGTCGGATGCGCCTCGAGAGCCTGGTCGCAACGCACCCCACGGAGACGTCCGTGGAGCCGCGGCAGCGGTATACTGTCTGGTTGCTTCCCCGAGCCACGGCGGTGCGGTCGAAGCAGCGGAGCTGCACCCATCGTGAGCGGAGACGGCGGGAGCATCGACGGAGGAGCCGGCACTCCTCCTCCTCCTCCTCCTCCTCCTTCTTCTTCTTCTTCTTATTCTTCTTCTTCTTCTTCTTCTTCTTCTGCTTCTTCTTCTTCTTCTGCTTCTTCTTCTTCTTCTTCCTCTTCCTCTTCCTCCTCCTCCTCCTCCTCCTCCTCCTCTCCTCCTCCTCCTCCTCCTCCGCCTCCGCCTCCGCCTCCGCCTCCGCCTCCTCCTCCTCCTCCCTCCTCTCCTCCTCCTCCTCCCTCGTCCTCCTCGTCCTCCTCCTCCTCCTCCTCCTCCTCCTCCTCCTCCTCCTCCTCCTCCTCCTCATCCCTCTCCCCCCTCCCCAAATGAGGGGGGGCCGGAGGGGTCGGCACTCCTGCTACTCCAGATCTCGTAATAAAAGGGGGGGGGTCTGGACCCTGCAAGCCAAGCCATGTCAAACCTCCCCCGTGGGAGAACCCGCCAAAACATCGTCCCCAGACCCCCCCAGGCCCTCCAAGATAGCCTAGAAGAGACCCCCCCCCCGAAATGAGACCCCCCTAGACGGCGGCGACGAGGGCCTCCGAGGAGGCCCCCAAAGGGGAAAACGAGCAAAAGGCTACTCCAGATTTCGTAATAAAGGGAGGGGGGTCTCATTTCGGGGGGGGGTCTCTTCCAGGCTATCTTGGAGGGCCTGGGGGGGTCTGGGGACAATGTTTTGGAGGGTTGTCCCACGGGGGGGGTCTGAAATGGCTTGTCTTGGAGGGTCCAGACCCCCTCCCTTTTATTACGAAATCTGGAGTAGAGCTATGGGTACCTTTCCCTCCTTGGGCGCCCGAACTATCCGGGGTAACTCGGGTCCGGGGTACGTCGGGGTCGGAATCCCGAAATACCAACCCGAAGTAGCCCTGACCCGAGTTACCCCTGATGATTCGGGGCTCTGGACACTGGAATTATCCGGGGTAAGTCGGGTCCGGGGTAAGTTGGGTTCGGAATCCCGAAATACCAACCCGAGTTAGCCCTGACCCGAATTACCCCCGGACGCCCGAACTATCCGGGGTAAGTCGGGTCCGGGGTAAGTCGGGTTCGGAATCCCGAAAAACCAACCCGAGTTAGCCCTGACCCGAATTACCCCTGATGATTCGGGGCTCTGGACGCCCGAATCATCCGGGGTAAGTCGGGTCCGGGGTAAGGCGGGTTCGGAATCCCGAAAAACCGACCCGAGGTAGCCCTGACCCGAGTTACCCATGATGATTCGGGGCTCTGGACACTGGAATTATCCGGGGTAAGTCGGGTCCGGGGTAAGTTGGGTTCGGAATCCCGAAATACCAACCCGAAGTAGCCCTGACCCGAGTTACCCCCGGACGCCCGAACTATCCGGGGTAAGTCGGGTCCGGGGTAAGTCGGGTTCGGAATCCCGAAAAACCAACCCGAGTTAGCCCTGACCCGAGTTACCCCTGATGATTCGGGGCTCTGGACGCCCGAATCATCCGGGGTAAGTCGGGTCCGGGGTAAGGCGGGTTCGGAATCCCGAAAAACCGACCCGAGGTAGCCCTGACCCGAGTTACCCATGATGATTCGGGGCTCTGGACACTGGAATTATCCGGGGTAAGTCGGGTCCGGGGTAAGTTGGGTTCGGAATCCCGAAATACCCCTCATGATTCGGGGCTCTGGCCGCCCGAACTATCCGGGGTAAGTCGGGTCCGGGGTAAGGCGGGTTCGGGATCCCGAAGAACGAACCCGAGGTAGCCCTGACCCGAGTTACCCCTGATGATTCGGGGCCCTGGACGCCCGAACTATCCGGGGTAAGTCGGGTCCGGGGTAAGGCGGGTTCGGGATCCCGAAAAACCAACCCGAGGTAGCCCTGACCCGAGTTACCCCTGATGATTCGGAGCTCTGATCCTCTGCGTTCCTCCGCGCAGGCCCCCCCCCCCCCCCATCCTTGGGCTCCCCCCGGCAGGGCGGCCGGGCGGCCGGACGAGGTCGAAGTCCGCCGTCGGCTTGTCCATCAGGTGCCGCCGCTCCACCACGGCCTCGATGTGCCCCCGGGGCTGCACCCAGCCTGGCGGGGCCCACGGAGAGCGGCCTCCACGGACCCCCTCCTCCTCCTCCTCCTCCTCCTCCTCCTCCTCCTCCTCCTCCTCCGGCTGTCCCCGATCAGACCCGCCACGGTAAATCTCACGTGTCTATTTGGTTGGGTGACCCGAAAGGGGGTCCACGGAGAGGGAGCCCACAAAGGACGTACGCGCCCATCTATGTACATGAACACGGCCCCTCGATTCGCGAGACCGGCCGCGTTATACGAACATTTGTGCCATGCGTGCTCTCGAAACCAGCGTGGATTCATGTACATGTACGTCCTTCTTTCGCTCCTGAACGGAGAGCGACCTCCACGGACCCCGGCTGTCCCCGATCAGACCCGCGAGGGTAAATCTCACGCGCCTATTTGGGTGACCCGACAGGGGGGGTCCAGCTGAAAGGGGCGGTGCAAAAGATTTTGGGCAGTTGTATTGCGAACGTATTGCGCCGGATAATTGCACTGCATGGTATTGCAAGTGATGTATTGCACGCGAACGTATTGCACCGGAGAATTGTACTGCATGGTATTGCAAGTGATGTATTGCACGCGAAAGTCCAGCAATACATTTGCGCCCTGGAATGTATTGCACACCCCAAATGTATTGCAACCCCACAGATCTGTTGCACCAAGTCTGTTGCACCATCCCCTTGTCGCTGGACCCCCTTTTGGGTCAACCCGAGTCTGGCCGCTGGCGAGACATATGCTGGCGCCTCCAAGCGCCCGCTGCGGGCCCGCGCCGCGGCCTACGAACAGGGCAGCCCATGGCGCGGAGACCGAGCGAGGGAGGACCACGCTGGGGGCGAGGGACCTCTGGCGTCACCGCGCGGGGCAGGAGGACCCCCCAGAGGCCTGGGCCCCCATCTCGAGCAGCTCGCAGGCTCCCTGCGCCACCCTCCCAACGGGGGGGGGGGTTGGAGCGGTAAAGGAGGAGGAGGAGGAGGAGGAGGAGGAGCAGGAGGAGGAGGAGGAGGAGGAGGGGGAGGAGGGGGAGGAGGAGGAGGGAGGAGGAGGAGGAGGAGGAGGAGGAGGAGGAGGAGGCGGAGGAGGAGGAGGAGCAGGAGGAGCAGGAGGAGGAGGAGATCGCCGCCCTCTGGGAGCACGATCCATCAGCTCGGGCATGCCCTCCTGTCACAACCGTTCTCTCGGCCACCCCACGCCGTCTCTGCAAGACTCTGCGGCAAGGTCTCCATCCTCGTGCCTCCTGGACCTCCGATGTTTCAGAACAAGCAGCACGTGTTTTTGCTCCGGCTCTCTGTGCTCCCAGGCTGTCAGACAACGACGCGGGAAAAGGCAACGATCCTGGTGCAGGCGTCGATAGCTCTGGGGCACGCGCATGACAGCAGAAGCGGGCATCAGAAGTCTCTTTCGCTCTCTCTCTCTCTCGCTCTCTCGCTGTCTCGCTCTCTCCCCTCTCTCTCCTTCTCTCTCTCTCTCTCTCTCCGCTGTCTCTCTCTCTCTCTTTCTCTCTCTCTCTCTCTTTTTTTTTTTTTCTCTCTCTCTCTCTCTCTCCATCCCGCTTTCCGACGTCGCGAAAAGGACACGACGCCACGGGCAAACTCGCATCTCGCCTCCCAAGGTTCTGCGAGATTTTCCGAGCAGGATGGATCCCTGAGGGTCTCACGGCCCAGAACGGTACGAAAACGCCAGTCGTGGATTTCTCCGTTACCCATCGGTTTGAGGGTCGCTCGGCCCCCCAGGTGGGGGGACGACGACGCGGAGGGAGAGGAGGGGGGGAGGAGAGAAGCGGTGCTCTCTCTCTCTCTCTCTCTAGCTGCAGCCGAGAGCAATCTTGGCGGCCATCAGCGAGAAGACGAGCGTGCCCACGTCTGCCACGGTGTCCAGCCATCCTGCCCCACTGGGGTTCAGGGAGGGCGGGGAGAAGAGAGAAGAATAATGACGGTGAGGACGAAGAGAGGGGGATAGTGCTGACTGTGCGGGAGCAGCGGTTCGGGCTCGTGGGGAGCTCGTCTGCAGCGAACGATGATAATCTGATGGAGGAGGATCGGGGATTGGCGGCGGCCAAGGTGTCTGAGCTGGATGGGCTCTGAGAAAGCCTGTCAAGACGGGGGATCAGGGCAAATCGACTCAAGGTCTGTCCCCTAAACCCCTCCAAGAAACCATCTGGTACAATTTCTCTCCCTGGATCCGTCTTGGAGTCCGACCGACAAAGGCAAACCACCGTCTCGAACCCAAAAGCTCAAACCTCCCCCCTGCTTCTTAGTGGCTGAGTGCTGGGCCACCTCGGACTCCCAACTGGCCCCAAGAGGAGGACGAGGAGACAACGATCAGCCCCTCTCCCGAATACGGCACCCCAGGAAACCCGAATGTTATCACACCATCACGGACATCGGGATCCTCATCCGTATCGTGGAGGCACACCGCCGACCTGGGTGTTGGTGTCAACCTGGGTCGGTGATCTACTGACCCGGGTCAATCCAGACCCGGGTCAGTCAGGCCTTGCAGAATCCTGCAGGCTCCTGCACCCAAACCCAGGTTGCAAGCTCCTGCACCCAGACCGGGGTCAGTGCGCTCCTGGCTCTGCAGGACCCCGCTAGATCCGGCGCCATGGCTGACCCCTGTTTTCATTGACCCCCATCTCAAGGCCCCCGACTAGGACCTATAGCAACTAGGCTGATGTCGGGCATGTCCTCCTACAGGCAGATGTTGAAGGACAAATTCAAAACAAGGTACAACAAATTCAAACATACGTACGCAATAATACTAGAAACATTATCCCCACACTATTGTTTGACTATCTTTGAATAGGTCTCCCGTAGAGGGACACACTTGACTTTCAGCTAGGCCTCCGGCAACGGTGAGACCCCCGGCTAGGACCTATACCATGTACCCATCGGTCGGAAGAAGTAGGCAGACACATGAAGTAGGAAGGCGTTGAAAACAGATTGGGTGTCCGCCCGCCCCCCTAAAGAGGACGGAAACGGCGAAGCCACTCGATCATTGAGGTGTCAAGGCGCTTAAACTAGATTGGAATCTGGGAATCCAAAAATACATAGCTTTTCAACGACCGATGGGTGATTAGTCGGCGGTGGACAAACTTCCCTTTAGTAAACCACCCTTTAGTGAGTCGGCCTAGGGCCGAAAGCGACGCACCTGGACCCGCAAAAATGACGGCCGCGACGCCCTCTCGCGAACCGAAAACGGCCAATTCGCGAATCGACGCGACAGGGTAGGAGGTCCATCAGCCTCCGATAAAATAGATTGGAACCTGGGAATCCAAAAATACCTACTTTTTCAACGACCGATGGGTGATTGGGCCTCCGGCAGCGGTCAGCCCCTGAGTATCGTTTAACCGATCCCCATCCACAGCGGTGTGGCCTGGGCCCCCCTGGCTGATTTACCCCCCCCCTAGATGGGGATATAGGCCGTTCCCTTCGGATTTCGAGGGGCGTATCCCCCACTGGGGAAGTAATTTGGTGGGGGTCTCGAGGGGGATGGGGATGGGGATGGGGATCGGTTAGACAGATACCGAAAAATAGCTACTTTTTCAACGACAGATGCTTGGGCCTCCGGCAACGGCCCGCCCCCCCGCCGCCGCCGTGCCCGTCGCCGCGCGCGCCCCCTCCGCGCAGCTGCTCCGCGGCCGGGGCCGCGAGGATGCTGCCCTCGGAGCACCCGCGGCAGCACGGCGGCCTCGCCGCGCGCGAGAGCGCAGGAGAGGACTCGGGAGGGGAGGCTGCATTGCGGCATGATGCATGTTGGGCTTACTCTGGTCCTCCTCCTCCTCCTCCCCTCCTCCTCCTCTCCTCCTCTTCTCCTCCTCTCCTCCTCTCCTCCTCTTCTCCTCCTCTCCTCCTCTTCTCCTCTTCTTCCCTCCTCATCCTCCTCATCCTCCGCGCGAGAGAGCAGGGCCGGCATCGCGTCGGGCGGCGGCGGCGACCGACGACGAAGACGAAGACGACGACGACGACGAAGACGACGGCGACGACGACGACGACGACAAGGACGACGAGGACGAGGACGACCACGACGACGACGACGACGACGACCATGACCACGACTGCGACCACGACGACGACGACGACGACCACGACGACGACAGGTCCTCGGACCCCTCCCAGGGCTGAATAGAGCAGTTTCTAGAGCCGAGCCCGTTCGGGGCATCGCTAAAAGGGCCCTGGGACACACAAATCGATAAAAAACACACATCAGGATTCCCAAGATTTTCCCAGATCTTCTTGGTTTTCGTCCTCCCCCCCAGTTCCCATACTCTCTCAGACTTTCCTGGGAGTCGACGATGAATTGTGTCTGTGCTTTTGAATCGCACCGCGTGACCAGACCACGTCGGAAGGCGCTTGGGCGTTACGTTACTTGACGCGGGGGCGGCAAATGGGGGGGGGCGGAGACACGTGCACCCCTCTTCCCCCCCTCCCTTATCGCCCCTCCCCCCATCTGGCCATCGCTCGGACGTCCATTTCCTGTGTTTTTTTCGGTTTCGTGCGTGGTTTTTGCGCGAAATGATCAAGGATGCTCCTCGATGGTCCTCGCCGAAGGAAAAATGCACACGTCCGAGCAATGCCGAGCCATTGCGCAGCGCACGTTGCGCGTCGGATCGGTCTGCACCGGCGCGGGGTCGAACTCGAGTCCGATCGGCCGCGCCAGGATGCACGGCAGCGCCATGCGAGCATAAGGTCGCAGCGGATCGTCGGAGCAGCGGAAGCGAGCCGGATGGGGCGAGGCAGAATCGATGCACACATATATCAGGGGGGCGTAAGACCCGGGTACAGGGGACTCGGAAATCCCCGACGAGGTCGTCAGAAAAATGACGAGGCCGAGCCCGCATTTTGACGAGGTCTCCCGCTTTTTGACGAGGCCGAGCCTGCATTTTGACGAGGCCGAGCCTGCATTTTGACATCCCACGAAACTCCTACTCGTCAAAATCCGAGTCGCGGTCGTCAAAAAACGATGGCGAACCCGAGTCCTGGCAAACCCGGGTCTTACGCTCCCTCGAATATAGTGTACTAGAACCACGCGCGCGTTTAGGTTCAAGAGCAGACTTCCCCGATTGCAGACGCGATCTCAGACGATAACAACGTCGACCGTAAACGTTGGCGATGACGTCGACGTCCATCCTCTCCTTCATGTCCTCCTGTTCCTCCTCCCCCTCCTTCTTTTCCTCCGTGTCCTTTTCCTTCTTGTCTCCCCGCCAATTCCGGAAAGCACCCTTCGAAGTCGGAAGCGGGAAGGCGAGGGCTTCGAAGCAAGGTTTGCCTTCGGTGATTCACAAAGGTGGGCCCCGAGGGGTTCTCTGAGAAACCTTTTAGGCCTGTAGGCCCTAACGGGGGGCGTCTGATTTCCCAGGCGGCTCGAGGCCCGGTTCACGCCTTGGAAAGGTATAGACCAGGGGGACGGCAGCCCTAGGGTAGCCTAATGTAGGCTCTGACCTAGGCCCTCTTCCCTCCCCCTCCTCCTCCTCCTCCTCCTCCTCCCTTTCCTCCTCGTCCGGCCACGCTGAGCTGGCGCGCGGGGCGGTCGAACCAGAGGGCAACGGCAACGACGACGACCACGACGACGACGACGACCACGACGACGACGACCACGACGACGACGACGAGGACGACGACGACTCCAGGCCCCTGGACCCCTCTGCAAAGGTGAACAGAGCAACTACGGGAGCCAAGCCCGTTCGGGGCGACGGGGCGACGAGCCTTTGGGTCGCTCCAAGGAAAAACCAAGAGTAAGCCCAGGGGTGGGCCGTGGGAGTCGGCCTGGGGGCGGGCCCCAGAGTGTGATATTCAGAGGTTGACCCTGTGGGTACGCCTAGGGGTCGGGCCCAGGGGCAGGCCCAGGGTCATGTTAGCCAGGTCGAGCCCTCCACCCACCATCCATCCCACATCAATAGGGGGGGACAGCGTCGGGGCCCTCTGGGAGCCGTCTGGAGACTCTGAAGGTTTCTTCCAGGACCATATTTGGGGACGCGGAGAGGACACGCAAGCAGGGAGGTTGACCACGGCAAGACGGCCCTGGAGCACCCAAAGAAGTCCCAAAGTCGGCCCAGAGAGACCCTCAAGACGGCCCAAGATGGCTCCAAGATGGCCCAAGACGTCCCAGGAGGCCCCCAAGAGGTCTCCAAGACGGCCTAAGAGGCCCCCAAGAGGGCCTCCAGGAAGGCCCGAAGAGGCACATATCATTGATTTTCCTTGGGGTTTTGAGGATCTGGCATTTGCTTCTGTTAGGCCTTCTGACGGCCCGAGACGGCCCAAGGGCTCCCAAAGATCGCCCCAAGATCCCCCCAAAGGCCTCCAAGATGGCCCCAGAACGGCCCAAGAAAAACCCAAGACGACCCCAAGAGGGCCCAAGACAACCCAAACGCCCCCAAATATCGTCCCAAGATCGCCCAAGAGGCCGCCCAAATGGCCCCAGAACTGCCCAAGAGGCCCCAATTACGGCCCCAAGAGGGCTCCAAGACGGCCTAAAAGGCCTCCAAGATGGCCTCCACGACGGCCCTGAAGCACCCCAAGTCGGCCCCAAGACGGCTTCCGACGGCATAAGACGGGCCAGAAATGCCCGAAGACGGCCAAATAGGCCCCCGAGAAGCTCCCAAAGGCCCCCAAGAGGCCCAAGGAGGCCCCCGGTGCACCCTCCTCCTCCACCTGATCTTCCCCGCCATCCTCCGCCAAGTGCTCCCCGAAGGGTTTCTACAACGGCATGGGGAACACATGGCCTGATAGCTTGGCAGAGCTCTTGCCACAACGCTTGGCCACATCATGTGGCGATTCCAAAAGGCAGGGGGCGGCGTTGATGCGCTGTGGGCGTCTTCGGAAATATAACTTACATAACATATACCATTCCAGACGGCTCACAACATGACGTACAAACTAGAACTGACACCACGTAGCTTGCACCGCTTAGCTCACACCACGTAGCTCACACACATCTCATAATTATTAGACAACGTAGCTCACACAACATGGCTTACACCACAGGGTTCACGCCTCACAGCACAACTTCCACTTCCACAGGATGACGACTTGCCGCTTGGGGCTCACTCTGGCCAGCATGCTCATGCATTTGTGTCTTCCTCCACGTGCCCATATTCGGCGGTGGACAAACCTCCCTTTAGTAAACCACCCTTTAGTGAAAACGGCCTGGGGCCGACACCGACGCACCTGGACCCGCAAAAATGACGGCCACGACGCCCTCTCGCGAACCGAGAACGGCCAAGTCGCTAATCGACGCATCAAGGTAGGAGGTCCATCCACCTCCGACATCTGTCTCCTCCTCGAAACGCGGACCTCAAAGACCGTTCGGGACGACTCCGGCATCCCGGGAGCGCCCCCACGACGAGGCGCGGCTGCACCCCCCCCCCAGGCGCCGAGAAACGTCGGACAGCGTGCGAACACCTTCTCTCCGCACCCGCTTCGATCGCACGTGTGAGGGCCCCGGGGGGGGGGGGGCGCACGCGCCGCCCGCACGAGGGGGGCAGCGCCCGCATCTGGAAGAAGGCCAAGAGAAGACGGCGCCGAGCAGTCCGGCTGTCCAGCACGCCGGAGGCCCGGGGAGGGCGCAGCCGATGGAAGCCACCCCTGGCCACGAGTCCGAGGCCTCCCAAATGAGGCCCGAGTAGACATGAGGCCCAGGGATCACCTCGCCTCGCCGACGCCTCGCCGATGCGCCGCATCGCCGATGCATCGGCGATGCGGCGCGATCCTCCGATCCCTTCCACTCGGACCCCATCTGGAAGGCCTGGATGATGGAAAGCACCGCAGGCCACGAGCATCTCCGAAAACTCGGGGGGCGCGCAAACATGGATTAGTTAGCGATCTATGGATTTGGCGCGCCGTCGTCAAATCCATGGATTGGGGGAGGTGCCCCCTTAAAATGCGGCCGCTGCCGCCTCGTTCGGCGGCGGAAATCCCCGATCTCCCATGGACACGGGACCCGCCGCTAACCCACGCCCCCTTGGCCCACATTTGCGATCGCCTGAAACACCTCCGAAGACATACTCAAACACAACGTTCGCATTCCCGTCTCGATCACAACTGCGAGAAAGGCCCCGGGAAGGTGCGCGCGGCGCGCCCGGCCTGACAGGGTAGCACTCGATCTTGTCCTGGGCGTGTGCGGGGTCGGCGTACCTCTTCGCGCGGGGTCTGGGCGGCCGCCGAAGCCCCCCCGAGGGCGCCCCCCCCATCCCCCCACCCACCCCTCCACGCGGCGCGGTTCCTTCCCCCTCTCTCCTCCTCGACCCTCCCCCCTCCTCCTCCTCCCCTCCTCCCTCCCCTCCTCCCTCCTCCTCCTCCTCCCTCCCTCCTCCTCCCTCCTTCCTCCTCGCCCTCCCCTTCCCCGCCCGCCAGCCCTCCCCCCCCTCCCCCCTCGCAGGAGGGAGGACATGGAAGGTGTGAGGATCGAGGAGGTGAGGAGGAGGGAGGAGGGAGGGGGAGGAGGAGGAGAAGGAGGAGGAGGAGGAGGAGGAGGAGGAGGAGGAGGAGGAGGAGGAGGAGGAGGAGGGGGAGGAAGAGGGGGAGGAGGAGGGGGAGGAGGAGGAGGAGGAGGAGGATGAGGAGGAGGAGGAGGGGGCCAGCAGGGGCTGTACACCTGCGTCAGTTTCCAAGCAGACCAAGCCCCACTCTCGGAGCCGACGCGCTCAACGGGACACTCGCGCGGCATCGCCAGCACGCGTGAGCTGGCCGAGTGTCCGGCATGTTGCGAAATGGTCAACTCGTTGCCTACAACGTGCGGGGGAAAAACAAACAAGCGCATTTCAGCAACTCGCAACTTATTGTAGCACGCTGGGCAATCTGGCACATGTGGCCTGGCAGAGTCGATTGGCAGGGTGGGATGTCGTGGTATCGTGGCTGGTGGTAGCGGGGGCAACTGAAAGGATACCAAGCGGCTGCGAATCGGGAAATCGCATCACATCGGAATGTGCGTTAGATCCGGCTGCATCGGCACGGAGTCGGAATCCGATCGGCTGCGCCAGGCTGTACAACAACGCCGCGCGAGTATCGGGCCCGCATCGGACGGTTGGGATATCATGGAATATATGAGTCGACTGGGATCGAGCCAACCGTACTCGACATCGACTCGGAATCGGATGACCCTGCATGCACTGGAGCTTGAACTATCAAAAGAAACCAGACCACTGGCAGCAGCACTGACATCGCGCCGGAGGCTGGTCCTCCTTTTTGGATCCTGGGGGCACGCTTCTAGCCCCCTGGGCGGTCCATTGGCCGCCCGAAAGGGGTCCGAGCAGATGGGGTCGGAGGATTGCACCGCATCGGCGATGCATCGGCGGTGCATCGGTGACGTCGGCGATGCATCGGCGACGTCGGCGTGAAGAATCGGGCGCAAAGGCGATCCTCCGACCCCGTCTACCGTCCCCATCCGGGAGGCCCAGGGTCAAACCGACGAAACAACCGGACCTGGTCAAAGGTCGAGAGCTCCCGGGGCCAGCGCCCGTCTTCTGCACGCAGGCCGCATTGCCTTCGCGCCGGCCGCATGCCATCATCATAAGCTCGCCGCTGCAATCGAGCAGGCGCCTGCACCTTCAGAACACGGAGCCGCAATCCGATGCAGGGCATCGCTGTGAACACATGCCTTCGAAGGCATCGATGCCTCGGTGTGATCATCCTCTCCCAGCAACCCTCCGACGGCAAGCCCACCGCGCCTAAGGTGCTTGACGTAGAAATTCAAGTACAAGGCCCCCTGCTCAGTGCGCCCATGGGCGACTTTGAGTTCTACGTCCCTAAACTTTAACCACTGCGGGGGCTCGTCGCGCACACCCTCAGCTTGGAAACGGAGACAGTCGGTTCCCTTTGTCTCCACCCCACACACCTGTGATATTCAGCTCGCGGAAATACATGTCTGCGCACTGCCCTCCAGCTTGAAGCGCCTCAGCCTCCACGCGAAACATACATTGGAACGTTTCACGGGGGATGTTAATCAGAACAGGCTTACCTGGTTTCATCAAGTCGAACCCCCGGCCAAGAACGCTTTGAAGGTGGGGGTCGCCAATGGCAGCAACGCCTGCGCTGGCTCCACCCGCCATGGGAGTTCCAGGAGGAAACGTCGGCGGATGTGGCGTCGACCAGCCCAGAAGATACGTCGGGCTGGGGGTTGGGCTGGACGTCGGGAACGATGTCGGGAAACCCGTTGGGAAAGGCGTCGGGAAAGCCGTCGGGTAGGACGTCGGGAACGGCGTCGGGTAGGGCGTTGGCAATACTGTCGGGAAGGGCGTCGGGAACAACGTCGGGAAGGGTGTCGGGAAAGGCGTCGGAAACGACGTCGGGTAAGACGTCGGGTAGGGCAAGGCGTCGGGAAGTGCGTCGGGTAAGGCGTCAGGTAGGGCGCCAGGAAAAACGTCGGGAACGACGTCAAATTCGGCGTCGGTAAGGCGTCGGGTAAAGTGTCGGGTCGGGTAAGGCGTCGGGTAGGGCGTCCGTCGGGCCGGGCGTACTGGTGGTCACACTAAGGGTCGCGCCAACATCGACATAAAGACAATGCCCGCCTCCCCACCCAACGGTGTAGTAGAGCACGATGTTACTGCCAGATGTCGCGGGCGCGGGCAATGTCTGGGTGAACGAAAACCACGCTCTGGAATGAGGTGCCACACACTGGGTGTACGATTCCGACCCCACCACAGCACCAATGGGTGTACGATTCCGACCGACCCCCACACAGCACTACGATTCCGACCCCACCACACCACGACATGCCCTGCACGATGAGCGCCACGTACATGATTCATGCTGCATTCCTGGTCGCCGCTATCCCAGCTGCCCGAGGTCCAAGCGAGAGGAAACTACGCAGCTCGAGCCTCAACATGTTTTATGCATCTGTGCGCGAAGAGCGGCAGTACGGCGCAGACGTTGAACCCAAAATGCTGCGGGGCACCTCGACGACACGACTCTTCCGAAGTGGGGCCTCCGCGAGCCATCGGGTGCAATCGAGCTCGTGATGCAGTGGATGAAGGCGACCCCGGCCACCCACACCAACCACAGCACACTGCATATGTTCGAACCTTCTCTCCGGAGCCCCTGGCCCGACGATCGTCGTCGGCTGCATGCCCACAACAAGAGGCCCCTGGCATCTTGCGAAGAATGCAGCCGCCGAGGACTGGATAATACCATTATTATACAGCCAAGCACGTGTTCAACAAACACCCGCAAGTTGATAAATAAAAAAACTGCCGCGCACGAAATTGCCTTGGACATGGCTCGAATCGCACCATAGCGCACATGCAAAACGCAGTTCTAGAAACGTAACAGCGATTTGTTATACGCAAGAGCTGTTTTACAAACGCGAAGGAATTATCAGACTGAGGGGGCCGAACGGTCATTCATTGTCCCTGAGTGCGTGGGTGAAGTGAGAATCCGTGGTGAGGATTATGCTTGTTGCGTTGGTGTTTTTGTTGTTGGTGTTGGTGTTGTTGTTGTTCGAAATTAAATACTAAACAAATATTATTGGACCCCTTACAGGCGCCCTGGCGCTCTCGCCGAGGCGCCGGCTGCATTTTCATTGAAAATGAGGCTCACTCACAAGCGGTTTGGGGGACCGCCAAAACCGGCCCCCCAACAACAACAACAACAACAACAACGCTTCCGTTCGAGATTTCCTTTTTTCCTCAGGGCCGGTGCTCTTGCCCGCCGCCGAAAGCAGCCATCTCAACAGAACCAGCGCTCCCGCTCGAGACTTCCTCCCGTTTTTACCTTGGACAGGCGCGCTACTCTTTCTCTCGTCGGCGCCGCCCCCCAGCAACAACAACGCTTCCGCTCGAGACTTCCTCCCTTTTTTACTCAAGGCGGTGCTCTTGCTCGCCGCCGAAAACAGCCGTCCCGGCGAAACCAGCGCTCCCGCCCGACACGTCCTCCCGGTTTACGCTCGACTGGCGCCCTACTCTCTTTTGAATTGGCGCCGCTCCCAGCAAGAACAAAGCTCCCGCTCGAGGCTTCCCTTTTGTTTGTTGTTCCTCAGGACGGTGCTCTTGCTCGCCGCCGACAGCCCGCGCTACCGCTCGAGACTTCCCCCTTCTGTTTCAAGGCGGTGTTCTTCCTCGCCGCCGACAACCGCCGTCCCAACAAAACCAGCGCTCCCGCTCGAGACTTCGTTTTGCTTTACTCTGGACTGCCGCCCTACTCTCTTCAGCATTTGCGCCGCTCCCAGCAACAACAGCGGCCCTCCTCGAGACCTCCTCTCTTTCTATTCAGGGCCAGGTCCTTGCCTCGCCGCCGACAGCCCCCATCTCCACCAAGGCAATCCTGTCGCTCGATACTTCCTTGTGCTTTGCCCTTGGCTGGGGCTCCACTGGCGGTCTCGCATCGGCGCAGCAAGGCGAAGGCATGCGCTTTCGAGGCGGGATATGTTGAAATTCTTCGGAGGAGGTGTTTGCAAGACCTCATTGGGCGGGAGATCTGGGATAGGAAATAACGGACCCCGCTATAGAAGAATCCCCCATGATGGGGATGGTTATCATGATGGTCGCATCCTTCGTGTGGAGACATCGCGCATGAGGGTAACATGATTGTTGTTGTTGGTTGTTGTTGATGGTTGTTGTTGTCGTCATCCCCCCCGCGACCCACCCGCGACCCACCCCGCGACCCCCCCCGCGACCCACCCGCGACCCCACCCGCGACCCCACCCGCGACCCAACCCGCGAACCACCCGCGACCCACCACGCGACCCACCGGTGACCCACCCCGCGACCCAGCCGCGACCCAGCCGCGACCCCCCCCCGCGACCCACCCGCGACCCACCTGCAAACCACTTGCGACCCACTTGCGACCCACCCGCAACCCACCTCGCGACCCACCCGACCCGCGACCCACCCGCGACCGATCCACATTGGTTTGAAGACAGATATCGGCGCCTGCGGCGGGCTCGTTGTATAATTTGTGAAACTGTGGCGCCTGTGGCTGGCTTCTCCAGGGTCTCGGAGACTGCCGACGTCCCCACCGGCCCCTCACTCTTATCCGAATCTGCGGGGTGCTACGTAAAACGACGTGTGCAACTGGAAACGTCGCGATTCGAAGTCGTCGCCGTTTGAGAGTCCCCAAACCATGTGGCAAGAGATCAAGTGGCGACCTGGAATCCCCCAAAATTCACTGCCGGGTTTTCGAACACGGGGTCGCCGCCGGGCCTTGTGACTCCTGGGCCCACCAACAATCGGGACATCTTCCGAAAAACCACACGAGTCCCCAAACCGGGTGGTGATACCAAATCGCCCGAGACTCACCGCCGGGCGTTGTCACCACCGAATGGATTCTGGGGGCCCGTTTCTAGCCCCATGGGCGGTCCATTTGCCTCCTAGAAGGGGTCCGAGCCGATGGAATCGGAGGATTGCACCGCATCGGCGATGCATCGGTGACGTCGGCGATGCATCGGCGACGTCGGCGTAGAAAATCGGGCGCAATGCGATCCTCCGACCCCGTCTACCGTGCCCATCCGGGAGGCCTAGGGTCAAACCGATGAAACAACTGGGCCTGGTCAAGGGTCGATAGCTCCAGGGGCCAGCGCTCGTCTTTTCCAAAGATAGAAGCAGAAATGTCGCTTGTGCACGCAGGCCACATTGCCTTCGCGCCGGCCGCATGCCATCATCATAAGCTCGCCGCTGCAATCGAGTAGACGCCTGCACCTTCATAACTCGGAGCCGCAGTCTTATGAAGGGCAACGATGTGAACACATGCCTTCGAAGGCATCGATGCCTCGGTGTGATCATCCTCTCCCAACAACCCTCCGACGGCAAACCCACCGCGCCTAAGGTGCTTGACGTAGAAATTCAAGTACAAGACGCCGTGCTCAGTGCGCCCATGGGCGACTTTGAGTTCTACGCCCCCAAACTTTAGCCACTGCGGATGCTCGTCGCGCGCACCCTCAGCTTGGAAACGGAGACCGTCGGTTCCCTTTGTCTCCACCCACGCACCCGTGATATTCAGCTCGCGGAAATACATGTCTGCGCACTGCCCTCCAGCTTGAAGCGCCTCAGCCTCCACGCGAAGCATTACATTGGAATGCCTTCCACGGGGGATGTTAATCAGAACATGCTTTCCTGGTTTCATCAAATCAAACCGCTGGCCAAGAACGTTTTGAAGGTGGGGGTCGCCAGTGGCAGCAACGCCTGCGCTGGCTCCACCCGCCATGGGAGCTCCAGGAGGAAACGTCGGATGTGGCGTCGGCCAGCCCAGAGGATACGTCGGGCTGGGGGTTGGGCTGGACGTCGGGAACGATGTCGGGAAACCCGTTGGGAAAGGCGTCGGGAAAGCTGTCGGGAAGGGCGTCGGGAACAACGTCGGGAAAAATGTCGGGAAAGGCGTCGGGAAGGGCGTCGGAAACGACGTCGGGTAGGGCGTCGGGTAGGGCGTCGGGTAGGGCGTCGGGTAAGGCGTCGGGTAGGGCGTCGGGAAAAGCGTCGGGAAGGGCGTCGGGAAGGGCGTCGGGAACGACGTCGGGTAAGGCGTCGGGTAGGGCGTCGGAGAGGGCGTCGGATAAGGCGTCGGGTAGGGCGTCGGGAAAGGTGTCGGGAACGGCGTCGGCTTCGGCGTCGGGTAGGGCGTCGGGTAGGGTGTCGGGTAAGGCGTCGGTTTCGGCGTCGGGTAGGGCGTCGGGCTGGCCGTACTGGTGGCCACCAGAAGGG